AATGAGAGCGGTTCGAAATAGAGAAAAATGGAAATGTTGCCAGCTGCAGTAGCAACGGGAAAAACTGCTTGGAGTATCAAAAAAAAGCTTGCCTTTTTGCCCTTGTGTATTGCTTTTAGAGTTTTCTTCAAAAAATTCTCAAAATCCTTGCCAAGTTCCTTTGATTGCCTTTCGCCAAATGCCATTTTCAATAATTTTGCACTCTTCTTTGATGTTTCACAAGCAGAGAGGCTTGCAAGGAGATTATTTTGACAGAGAAACAGCATTTTGCCTGACTAAAATTAGCAGTTTTTTTCGAAAATTACTTGCAAGTGCAAAAAAAGGAAAACAGAGCTGCAATTTTTGCAATCATATATTTCTCGTGAAATTTCTTTTTTGCAATTTTTCTTCCGAAAAAATCGAGGGACCAAAGATTATATTGGAAAAAATCTTCGAAAAAAACAAAAAGAGGGTTCAAGTTAAAGTCGCAAATCAAACAAATCATAAAATTTAACTTCATAAAACAGGTTATTAAGAATTCCTAAAAAAACATCAAAAGTTTTAGGTTAATGAGGTTTTTCAAAGCTTTTTCCCCTTTCAAAATTTTTCTTAAATTAATTCAAAGAATTTTTTCTTCCGAAAAAATATTTCACAAAATAAAAATAACTAAAATTTTCAGCTTCATAAATTCTCGCTTTGACAAATTTTCCTCTTCCTGTAAAATCTCATTTCACAGTTTTAATTTCATAGAATTTCAAAGAAACTACATTATTGAAATAGTGCTGCAGTCGATTCCAGCATTTATCATCCAGATGAGCTGTATCAGCAATTATCAAGCATGCAACATCTCGGCCAATCCATGGCTGTGTACAGAGCGCTTCATAGGACAAATGAAAAACGGTATATGTATCGGGTAAAATCATGGAAGTTAGAGCACCGGCTACACGACTGAATAATTCCACATTGTCGCCGGTAAATACTAGGATCTGAAAGTCTTTCATCAAGATCGCTTGGGTCGTTAAAATGGATCTCGCGGTGGGTCTTTTTGTCGACCAGTTCCGCTTTTTCCCGAACCCCGCGCAAAAAATCGATATACGAACCCAGAACGGAGCTCAGGTTCGGGCCCACATACCTTTTCTCTAACTCGTGGAATTTCCGCTCGCTGGCTATGTTCATTTTTTATATCATACCGTTCACGCCCAGTTAAGGAAAAATGTGGCGCATAGTATTCCTGATGGTCCATGATTTTGTTTTAATTGTTTCAAGGATCAACTAAAATTACCGTTGCAGGTTTTCCACGAGCTTTTCCAGAATCAGCATTAGTGTGTACATGGCGCTGAGAGATTTCTTTTGGTATATGGAACATTTCTTCGCTGAATAACGGCCGATTCTCGGTAGCCCAAGAAGTCGATGGACAGAGGAGTGTACAGCTGCTTGTGGAACTACGACGGTCAGCTAGAAT